TCCTCAACTTCTCCTGAGAAAAGGCCCACACACTTCAAAATCTAAATAAATTAATTCCCCCAAAAGAAGTTCCTAACGACACCAAAAAAGCGAAAATAGCTTTTCCAATTCTCCTCCTCTACTACCTCCTCCTCTCAATCTCCCTCGCTGCGTGTTTTATCGCAGTCTCTCTTCTCCCCGTCTCGAATCTGACCTCCGCTAAGCTTCGTGAAGAAGCAGTGGAAGAACAAGAAGCCGAAATGGCGACGTTTGAGAGCTTGATTGGCTTGGTGAACAGGATACAGCGAGCTTGTACTGTGCTCGGCGACTACGGCGGTGATAGTGCTTTGCCTACTCTCTGGGAGTCTCTCCCTACTGTTGTTGTTGTCGGTGGTCAGGTAAAGTCTCAGTGTATGTCTATCGTGATGTAGTGTGGTGTTTTACTGTACTTTGCTTAGAGAAGAAGAGTGAGCTGACTCGATCGGTGGTTTATGCATGTTTTAGATTAGGTTCAGCAATGCTTTGTCTTATATGTATGTTTCTGTATGCGATTTTCTGTGAATAGTTTAAGTTTATAATGTTTTCTCGATGTGCATGTAGAGCTCCGGTAAATCGTCAGTGTTGGAGAGCTTCGTAGGGCGCGATTTTCTTCCTAGAGGATCAGGTGAGGAATGTGGATTTTTTTTTAATGTTTTCGTGCGTCTGTGATCTCTTTTTTTGCTTGGATAACTGTTTGGTTGCGATGAAAATAGAAACGAAAGTAAGAGAAAACGTGTGATCTTATACTCTCACGGTTTCGTTTTACTAAATTTCGAAGCTCAAGTCAAATTTCAAAGTACGTGAGGCTGATTTTAGGAGGCTGGATGCTTAACGAGCTAGCTTCATTATCCTGTGTTGACTTACTTTTCTCCTTAAAGTTCATCCATAACAAACGAATCTGATCATACTTTAAAAAAAGGGACAAACTAACTCAATTGAGCGCTATAGAGAAAATAGAGTTCCTTTTTTTTCTCAGCAGAGAATATTGAGTTATTTTCTCTTGATTTTTATGATGTCTGTGAAATTTCAGGGATTGTGACAAGAAGGCCTTTGGTGTTGCAGCTGCAAAAGACAGAGAGAGGACAAGAGGAATATGCGGAGTTTCTTCACTTGCCAAAGAAAAAATTCACTGACTTCTGTATATAAACTGTCATGCAAATTCTATATGGTTCCATTTTTGTGATGTTTATTAATTTTTTGGTGATCATTCTTGCATTACTAAAAAAAATGGTGGTAATTAGTTAAAACTTGCAGTTGGATGTCTTCAATTGTGCTAAGTAATTTTGCACTCCTACATTAAACTTTGGTTCTGAATAAAGCATGCGTCTGGTATTATGGATTGTTATTTTGAATTTTTCTTTATGAATTGGTTACCACTAACTTCATGTACTAACTTTTACGGTTTCTCAATTACTATTTGTATGCATTTAATTTGTTCTTAAAGCTGTTGCACTGAGAAACTCTCCCTTGAATTCAATGGCAGTACATGATTGAACCCTTCTTTTTTGTGGTTCCATTTTTCTTATGCAGCAATGGTTCGGAAGGAAATTCAAGATGATACTGATAAAATGACTGGGAGGTCAAAACAGATATCTCCTGTTCCTATTCATCTCAGTATCTACTCACCAAATGGTAACAAACATAAAATTTTAGTTTGGTTTGAATTGTTAAGAAGTTTCTTTGCCTGCTTTGGTGCATGTTACTTCTATTGCATTATGTACAAATTAACTTTTTTTCCCTTTTTTTTCCTTCCTGTCTCTTAGAAGCTATCAAACATCAGTCTTATTCTTGTTGCATTTCATATACCTTTGTGATTGAAATGAAATTACATGCTAATTATTTCAAATTATCTGTGAATGGACATTGATTTTAGTTTATGGTAAAGTTTTTAGGGTTACAATAATCTGCTTAGTTCACTGTTTTGTTGATGATTGCATTCCTTGGTACAATTATTCACGTTTTAGTTTTCTTATCTTTATCTCTTTTTGGCAGTTGTGAACTTAACCTTGATTGATTTGCCTGGTTTGACAAAGGTTGCTGTAGGTATGCGTCTCACATTCTCATTCACTCTAACTTCCTAGAAAAAACCTTCTAAAATGATTTCTCTTTCATTCATTAAATTTTGTAAAATTGGATATCTTTGATAATGCTAGAGGGACAGCCAGAGAGTATTGTTCAAGACATAGAGAACATGGTTCGCTCCTATGTTGAGAAGGTACTCACAACATATTATTCTTTGTTTGAAAAAATTTACATAATCCTAATCTTGTTCATTTATTCTAGCCAAATTGCATCATTCTTGCTATAACTCCGGCTAATCAAGATATAGCAACATCTGATGCTATCAAACTCTCCAGAGAAGTTGATCCAACAGGTATTTCTTCTGTTTTCTGCTTAGCATTTTACCATGTAATTTGACAAGCTTTTAATGCTTGATGCTTCTATACAATCATTTTATCTGCCTTTATAATATAGGTTACAACTGATTTTTCTTCCCAGGTGAAAGAACCTTTGGTGTATTAACAAAGCTTGACTTGATGGACAGGGGAACAAATGCTTTAGAAGTACGCTTCTTTCCCTTTTTGTGCCTGCAGTTCATCATATAAAGTCTGGCAACCTGTTTTTTCCATTTTAGACATAGGATAGAAATTGAGCCATTTTATAACAATAGTCACAATACATTATGGTGAACTACTGTTTGCAGGTTTCTAGTCCACATACATTTTAAATTTTAATAATGCATTATTGATCAACAGATTTCTACATTTGTGAACTTTCGTACTTCACAACAAAACACAAAAATATTTTCTAGAATCTGTTTGAGAGATGATACCCATGACTCGACTTGAGAAAGGGCTGTGGTTTACCTGTTAAAAGGAAACTTACTGAATTTTTGGAAACTTGTTTTTAAATTTATTGTTCCATTTATCCAGTGTGCATATGTTTGCTTTTGTTGTTGAAGGTTCTTGAAGGAAGAGCTTGTCCTCTTCAACACCCTTGGGTTGGAATTGTGAACCGCTCCCAAGCTGATATCAACAAAAATGTTGACATGATTGCTGCTAGGCGGAAGGAACGTGAGTTCTTTGCCACTAGTCCTGAATATGGACATTTATCCAGCAAAATGGGTTCAGAATATCTTGCAAAACTTCTCTCAAAGGTTTCTATCCTTCTGTTTTCCTTTTAAGTTCGTGATATATCTATCTATCTACTTATTAGAAATCTATATGGTTCAGCACTTGGAGTCTGTAATCAAAGCACGTATTCCAAGCATCAGTTCTTTGATTAACAAAAGCATTGATGAACTAGAAGCAGAGTTGTGCCATCTTGGTAGACCTGTTGCTGTTGATGCTGGGGTGAGGAAGTTATAAAGTTTACCTTCCTTGGTCCCATTCATCTAGATTTTGATTGATTTTGGTTGCTCATATGTTTATCAGGCCCAGCTGTATACCATCCTAGAGTTATGCCGTGCATTTGATCGTGTATTCAAAGAGCATTTGGATGGAGGGTACCGTTACAAGCTCTATCTCTTTTCTCTGGCTTTTTATTAAAAGGCATTCTCCGATAGGGATGCTGTGGTTCTAACTTATTTCTTGCAAGATTAAGATTAATTGTTGGCATACTATTCACGGCGATTGATTTAAGCTAAGTTATACAGCAACCTGGAATGTGCCCATTTATAAACCTATTTTCAGCTGTGTTTCTTGCATTTTCATTGCCAAATAAACACTCAGGTCTCAGCAGAAGGTGAAACTCGAATTTTTGACTAGATTCTGCTTAACTAGATTTAAGTGTATTCGTGTATTCTCTCTTTTTTCTGTTGACTGTTCAGATATTTACTACTGTAGATGAATGCTGAAGTGTGAAATTTGTTTCATGTCCAATGCTTTGTTTTCAATTGCCCTGCAAACGGAGGAAGTTTCACTGCGTGCTTGACTTGTCTTGTTTATTAATTGCATGGATTTCTTTTATAAATGTCAGGGAGGTTTGAAGTTGCTCAAGTCCCCTACAGTATCTGCATAAAATTTTTTATAATTTTTATGTATGACTGCTATGATTGTATGACTAACCCTCTTTATCATTTTAGGCGACCTGGTGGTGACCGCATTTACGGAGTTTTTGACAATCAGCTACCTGCTGCTTTAAGGAAACTTCCATTTGACCGTCATTTGTCACTGCAAAATGTAAGGAAAGTGGTTTCAGAAGCAGATGGGTACCAACCTCACTTGATTGCCCCTGAGCAAGGTTATAGACGTCTCATTGACAGTTCACTTAATTACTTCAGAGGTCCAGCGGAAGCCTCTGTAGATGCTGTAAGTTTCCTTTTTATTGTGATTATTATAACTCAACTCTTTCCTTCTCTCCTAGTGGGTTTCGCTCTGAGGAGAGTTCAGGGAAGTGACGGGGGGAACAGTGGTTTTGAGAGCAGTTTTAGAGTAATGAATAACTTTGACTTGTGAGGACAGACATCTGGATATAGACCAAAAAAAGATATGAAATCATTTTGTTTCATGAAATCCATCGGGAACACTATTGTCTGATAAGTATTTCCCTTCAACGTTTCTGCAGGTTCACATCATTTTAAAGGAGCTTGTAAGGAGGTCAATTGGAGAAACTGAGGTTAGGTCAAAACTTGGCTAGCATCTTGGCTGTAATATTGAGAAACATAAAAAAGGATGTAAGGCAATATTTTGGAATTTGACAGGAACTAAAGCGATTTCCAACACTTCAAGCTGAAATAGCAACAGCTGCTAATGAAGCATTGCAGAGGCTCCGTGAAGATGGTAAGAAGACAACCTTGAGATTGGTGGACATG